AGAAAAGAAATAATCACAATAATAAACATGATAACAGCGACCCGAATCACGCGAAGCCACAGTATATTTCTTCAGATAATAAAGTGAAAGAAAGCGGCTTTTTTCCCAAGGCAAATTGCTGTGACGGGAGAGAGGATGAATTCAGGAGAGGAGAAAGCGCAGAGCCTGGATGCCAGGACCGGATCTTAGGAACTCCGCGACAAAGGTGCTCGGGCTGGCCCCTACCTGTTGAGTTGTGATGCTCGAGTAAGTTTCCGGATGCCCTGGAGAACTGCTGCTGCCCCGAGAGGAGGTATCAAAATTTGCTGGGAAGTCCTGGTACATTGTCCGAGGTGCAAGCAGGAGAGAAATGATGATGATGATAATAAAAATATCTTCCTAGCTGCCGTTCCCTCTTGCTCTGTCCCTTCCTGTCTTGCTTCCAATCGTATAATTGATGCCTCAGATTTCAAACGCACTCAGGTGGAGACGGATGCAGCTGGCGGTTTGGATTTTGATTCTATTTTAAGCAAGTCCTGATTTTTTTTTTTCTCGAAACAGGACTGTGGGATTTAAAAAAAGAAGAACCATCCCAAACCTCCCACATATGAGAATGTAAAATTCACTCCCTGTAGAGCCAACTCATTGAGTCTCTTAAGAACGTCAGCATAACTACAAAAAAAGGAGTTCTCTTTCCAAATGCGACTTTATTTCTAAAGAAAATTGGACGTGTCTCGTTTCCCTCCCTTCCTTCCACTTTGCCTGCCTGCTGGTATCAAGAGCCTCGATCTCCCTGTAGTTTTTAAGGAGGATCGCTGCCTCCTGTATAATTAAGCCCTTCAGAAAAGTGCCGTCTTCCTGCTCGAACTGGACTGGATGACTCAGTCCGGGATTTGAGGCTCTTTATTTACTTGTTGAAAATATCCGACTGAATTATTGATTTTGCCCTTCTCGGCCGTGAAGGCGAGCTCTTCTCTCCCCCTGCTTACGCGTGCCCCCTCCCTTCTCTTTCCCTTGAGCGCCTCTCTATCTAATATCCTTGTTCTCTGAGCTCCTTTACTCTCCCTGGATGAGTCAGTGCAATGGCATTAGTTCAAATCCCCAGCCTCATTGCATCTCCTCTTCTTAAGATCTGTACCATGTGAATTCGCAAACGTCAAGCTCGCGATGGCCACGCCCACTCGCAACGCGGAACCTCCCACTTGGTGGGGGGGAGGAGGAGAGAGAGGGGAGGGCAAGATGGCTCGGCCCATTAAACCCGACCCAGCGTGTTGAACGCGGGCGATGAGAAGGGGGGTAGGCAGGCGACTCGTCAAGGCATTCTCACGCCCGCTCGCCACGCCACCCGGCCGCACGGTCCGTTGCCTAGTCCAGAGTTGTTTTTCTCCCCCCCCCCGTGTCTCGGCTTAGTCTGTTCCGTTGTCGCAGGTCGCGGTTGCCAAAGATGGTCATTTGCGTGGTACTACGCGAGCGCGGGTTTCCTTGGTTAGAA